AAATTCTCCACCTGAGACCAAATGACGTAGAAGTTAACAACTATATGTTACCATACGGCTTGAAACAATGAACAAAAACCGTACCGCATAGTAAGCTAAAAAGGCACCGAAATGACAAAGGAAAAACAATTCAAACGAGAAAACTGATGGCCTGAAATATGTTCAAAATAAAAAAAACTAGAATCAAATATAATATATAGCTACAAACGAATACCACTGAATTACAGGCTCCGGAGTTGGGACGGGAACATACAGAATGTGGTGGGGTTAAACATGTTTGCTGGCGCCAAACACTACCCCTAACCTGGGACAGTGGTGTGGCTTTAGTTTATTAGAAATCTTATATCTAATATCTTTTTTTGGGTTTATTAGATATCTAATTTGGTTTAAAATGTATCTTGTTTATTTTATTAAGACCTTAACTTTGTTGTGTTTGTTGAATGTATCAACGATTTGTTTAGACTCGGTTCGAATTAGCATTTTTCATATGACCCTATGGTATGCATGCTTGTCCATGATAGAAGTCATCATGTTATTTTCTGTTAGATTACATTTATGGATATGTTCTGTTGTTGCTGTTGGGTTATGTGTAGCATTATTGTATTCCCGGCATCTCTTATTCATATACAAAATGTTTAGATTTCTACGAGCAACACTCATACATATATTATTATTTAGATAGATTTAGATACATTAATGTGGTTGTGTGTATCAAAAGAGATAATCGTATTTTATCTCTCCCTTTTTATTTGTTCTGATTTGACCTAAGTTTTCAACATTTTAATTTTTATTTTCATTTTACTTTTTGGCTTTTAAGAAAGGTCAATATACCAAAATTTGGATGAATATTCGAAGAGTAGCCGTGTGTCTACTGTTAAAAACTGCATCGTGACCTTTAAATGGCTTCAGTGACCTTTAAATGGCTACAGTGATATTTTAAATCAAAGTACTGAAGTACTGAACATCGGATGACCACAAGTTCTTGAGGATGGTCAAAAGCACTTGTCTCAGAAAAAAAACAACATATCTCTTTACCTGAAACTGAGGTTAATGTACATAGATATATTTTTTCTGAGACAAGTTCGTGCGTGGATGATGAATAAATGACAGGAAATTCAACTTCACCGTATTACTATTATATTGTAGTGATACAAATCAGTATATGGCAAGCCGTTTTTATATTTATTCAATTTCAAGATATCTTATAAAGAAAATAAGATATCTTATAAAGTATATAAGATATCTTCTAATGTTTATAAGATATCTTTTTTAATTTGAATCTAATAAGATATCTTATTTATTTTATAAGATATCTTATTAACTTTTAAAGATATCTTGTATTGTTTATAAGATATCTTATATCTTTTTAAAGATATCTTTTAAACAAATACTTTATGAGATATCTTGTATAGCTTATAAGATATCTTTAAAAGTATATAAGATATCTTATTTACTTTATAAGATATCTTATTAACTATATAAGATATCTTATTAGTTATACAAGATATCTTATATGATTGATTTATCAGATATCTTATTTAGTTAATAAGATATCTTATTTAGTTTATTAGATATCTTATTAAGATATCTTATTTAAAATAGCATTATTAAATAAATTCAACAATGAACGCTCCCTCTTGAACTACGAGGCAGTAAATAGATCATGTGATTGCACTTTCAAAATGGCAGTTGAGAAGAGTCGGTCATTAATAAATATTCGAGATGTTAATATCCAGAAAGCATATGGGTGTAATAATACTATTAGAAATGACAAACTGCGACCTGAATTAATTCTTGGCCTTGAGATTAATCGCGTTACAGACACGTTAGCTGTTTCAAAAAGTGTATATTAACTTTTGCAATCAGAATAAAAACGACTTGTTGGCGTCCTAAAGTATGGTTCTTGAGCTCTCTTGTATAGTTTATGTTTGATGTGTTTGAGCTTTTGATGTTGCCATTTGATTAGGGACTTTCCAATTCGAATTTTCCTCGGAATTCGGTATTTTTGTGATTTGGTTTTTTTTCAAGCTATTTGAAATATGTCATATTATCTAAAAAAAAAAACCCAGTTACTGTATATAAAATCTGTTGACTTTGATGCAAGTGATAATCAAGGAAAGATCGTGATGAAAAACACCATCAAAATATAATAACCGTAGGCTTACAAAACGTTTTTTGTCATATTTGGACAGAATAAAAGAAAGGTATGGTTAAAAGTATATAAAGTATGTTCATAAAAAATGTAGATCAAATATGACCATGCCAGCACAAGTGACTTCTTTAAAGAATTTGAAACATCCCCTAGTTTTTGTATCATGTCAGTTTGTGAACTAAGTCTCATTCCTGTTACTATTTCTGGCTGCCGAATTCTGAAAGGAAGAACATTTTGAATTTATCAAAGAAACCCCCCCCCCCCAAAAAATAAACAACTGGAATTTCATAAAATATTTTAATTCTTGATAATAATTTCGTAAATTCTTATTTCTAGATAAACAGAAAACAGATTGAAATGAGATTGGCAATACATTTTAAGTGAGACTTATATAGATATATTTCATTTTAAATAAAATATCTTTTACAGTAATTAAGATATCTTATATATTAAATAAGATATCTCATTCATTAAATAAGATATCTTTATTATTAAATAAGATATCTCATTTATTAGATAAGATATCTTAATTATTAAATAAGATATCTTATATATTAAATAAGATAGCTTATATATTAAATAAGATATCTTATATATTAAATAAGATATCTCATTTATTAAATAAGATATCTCAATTATTAAATAAGATATCTTAATTATTAAATAAGATATCTAATATATTAAATAAGATATCTTATATATATAATAAGATATCTCATTTATTAAATAAGATATCTCAATTATTAAATAAGATATCTCAATTATTAAATAAGATATCTTAATTATTAAATAAGATATCTTAATTATTAAATAAGATATCTTATATATTAAATAAGATATCTTATATATTAAATAAGATATCTTATATATTAAATAAGATATCTTATATATTAAATAAGATATCTTATATATTAAATAAGATATCTTATTTAACAAATAAGATATCTAATATATCAAATAAGATATCTTATATATTAAATAAGATATCTGATAAACTAAATAAAATATCTTATATATATTTCATATATCAAATAAGAATCTACAAAACAATAAACAATTATAATTAACTCTTTTTGATATTAAAATTTTCTTTACTGGTAGTAAACTGTTACTTTCATATCATTGCAATTTTTCCTGCTTGAAGCACATTAAACAAATTTCATTCATATTGATAGGGAGCAAGGAATTGCTTTTTTTTCTTTCGTTTATCGTGAAATGATCATTTACAACCTCCGTGGAAATGCACATACCCCCCCCCCCCCCCCTTTTTAGTAATTAAATGTTTGCCAATAAAATTTAAGGCTTAATTGATAACAAAAATGGAGAAAACAAGTATTGAAATAAAGCTAAAGTGCACAGTAATTATTTTGACATAATGCTGATGATCAGGTATCATCAGTTGTAATCAAATCAAATAGACCGTTGTTAACCAATTAGAAATTTTGGTTATTATATGGGTGCATGCGAATTAAAATGAAAGATAATTTTCTATTTTTATTGTGAAATTAAATATTAATTTTACATAACGGTGGCGAAACAGAAGTCATTTTTCATGATATATTATTGTCAAGTGAGTGGTGAAGGACACTTATTTTTTTATTCTACTCCATTGGAGGTGTGCCTACACTGGCAGAATCTATAATACAAATACAGATACAAATTAGCAATCTCGATCTGAATTGCTATTGATTTTATGATTGGTCAATCTTTTTTCCAACATAAAGGGATACTTTATTTCAAGTCTTAAAAAGAAAGGAAGATATCTTATATAATTAATAAGATATCTTATTTAGTTTTAAAGATATCTTATTAAGTTTATAAGATATCTTTATAAGAAACTATATAAAAGATATCTTATATAGTTTATAAGATATCTTATAAACTAAATAAGATATCTTTTAAACTAAATAAGATATCTTATTAACTATATAAGATATCTTATATGTTAAATAAGATATCTTTATAACCAGTTTAATAAGATATCTTATTTAATTATCAAGATATCTCAATTCATTTATAAGATATCTGATTTGATTATAAAGATATCTGATTTAACTTAATAAGATATCTTGAAAGTGAATAAATATAAAAACGGCTTGCCATATCAGTATACACTGATTTGTTGTTATATATTATATTAAAATAACAGTTGCATATATATATGATTTGCATCCATTTGTATATCATTCTATTCTACTATTCTAATAATAGTGCAATGCAAGTGCATGGTGGACACTTTTCTGTAAAAATTCGATTTTTCTAAGATTGGATACGAGTAGGCATTCATATTTTCCCGCAAAAACAATTAAAGAGTTACCGGTCCTTGCCGGTATTGTCGCAAAACGTTCTTTGAGATATTCTTCCGCATGCTTTAACACAATTTTTCGGTACGTGTGCATTGATATTATCAATGATTTTTTACTTATATATATATATATATCTAACTACAAAACATTTTCATATTATTAATTTATGTTGTAAAACAAAAATATATTTATCAGTATTTATTGAAGAGAAGTATTTATATTAAACGATAAGGAATGTTATTTTGCACTCGTTTATGTGCGCATATTTATCATGTTTATAGATCGGTTACAAACCCAAAACTAATTTACATAATGGAAATCTAGGCGATAGCAATACATCGAAATGACCTCAAGGTCATCGCGATGTAAAAAGTATGAAAAAAGAACCAGGATAAGAATAATTTAACAATTAATTACATGTATCTGATTATACATATAAAATAACATACAAGAGAGTAAAGACCTTTATGTATAGCTAAAAACTAGCTGCTATCCGGGCTATTATGATTTGACGTTGATAAACTTTTCGCTTTTGTTGTGTATAAAGGGCAGTACATTCACAAGATGGGGACGGAGTTCATGTGATGGTACAAAGTCGTCATTGGTTTATACAGGTACTAACATGTAGACGTATATTATTTTTTTATTTCTATTTTTTATTTTGAGAGAGAGAGAGGAGGGAGATGAAAGGAGAAAAGATGTTTGATTGGATTGAATATGGTAGGCCGACACACTGAGTCGGATTTTAACACGATAGCACACAAGTTATATCTCACAGGATGACCAACATGTGACCTTATCGGTCGTCCCTCTGTCTATATCACTCTGCTCGGCTCTTAATGAAATTGCTTATCATATACTTGTATAAAATATTACTAAAATTTTACAGTTCAATAACATTTAAAATATTAAAAGGCTATGAAAGGATTACTAGGTTTATTGATCAGATTCCTCAGCGGGCTGATAAAGGAACCTTTATTGACTGCTTCCGGAATGTTATCATATGCCTTTCCGTTAATTTCCGTGACGTTTATCACATGCAACGTCGTGCATTTCCGGAAATTTGTTCGAAAACGACAACACAGTGCGGAAAACCGCAAGTGATTTAAGACTTTTCACAAAATTGTTGAGGAGCAAATTTCAAACTAAGAACATGATAATTGTTGTGACAAGATAAATAAAATGCTTGTAATATCAATAAAAACAATTAAAGTTAAGAAATTTGTATTTGGTTGTCTGTAAATTATTATATAAAAATTCATGGAAAGAAAAAATTTTAATTAATAGTTCTTGTCTGTATTTCTTCTGTTAAAGTATATGATAAAAAGATAATTACATGTCATTTATCATATCAGACCCTTTATTGGCCCTCGTTCATGATATCAGCCCTCGAGCCTGCGGCTCTTGGGCTGATATCATGACCTAGGGCCGATAAAGGGTTGATTGGTGTAAGTGAACTGAAAATGGTTGATTGGTGTAATTAGTTGACTGGTGATTTTTAGGACCACACATCTATAGTATAATACTTTTTTCTTTTTATCGGTACGCATAGACAATACATGTACTTCTAGCGGCACATTTCGGAGTATTCTTTTCGTATATTTTTAATGCGTAACTTTGTTAATGATGTTGATTTGTTATATTTAAAATAAGAATATTTATTTTCATAATTTACGTTTTTTTTCCCCAATCAATCATGTATAATACATCAAAGTTAGAGAGAAATAAAGACAGATCCATGATCTTGATTAACAAGTACAATTATTTTTCATTTTATAAGTATGGGAAGAAATAAATAATATTAAGCTGTTTGAAAAATATATTCAAAAACACTAATTTCAAATCATGTACTTCAGATTTTAAGTTTTCTTTATATATTGAAATAAGACAAAAAGAAAACCCATTATGTGGTGTCTAGGGTAAAGCATGTCAAAAGATGACAGAATACTAAAATCCTAAAGACAATAGAAACACGAGAAGACAAAATCTAATATGTATTAATGAGAATTTATTTTAGGATTTATGGCTGGCCCTACTAGTGCCGCAAGAGGAAGTGGGTCTAATTATCTATGTTTGTCCAGTAATCCTCAAACGAAATCTTTCCCTGCAGACTGGAATCAACGTCCTGGACATCTTTATGGAATTGGTTGGGAATTAACAGAGTAGTAACATCCAGTGTTTTTAATAACTAGGTGTGTCACAATTCCTATATGTTAAAACAATCTGAATTGTAACTTCCTTGCTAATGGATTAGTATTGATTGATTGGCTGCATTACGGAGGTACGATAATTTGTCCAAAAGCAATTCAAAAGAAAATTTTAAACAACGATCTGATTTATGCTGAAAATAAAAAACGAAAAATAACGAAGCGGACTGCAACCAACAACATAATTAGATGAGGTTTAACATCTGTGTAAGCGCTCAACCCTTCCCTTACCTAGACCCTGTTTTCCCAGACAAAACTTTCCGTCAATTCACATTCTTTGGATTTAGTGTAAATACTCTTTAAAATGTCTGAGAAATACTTGGCCTTGTGCAAAGCCAAGCTATACATTTCATACAACACATGTTTTACCCGGGGATCGTCATATGATATGGAAGTATTGTTTTTCCTGATGACAATTTGTATATATCTATATGTATATTTTGGTTTCGTTGTATTGATGGGTTGCCGTCTCATTGATGTATATACCTCACAAATTTTTTTTGTATTAAATTAATCAAATATTAGAACTTTTGTTCACGTTTCAGATGCATGAAATTTATAAAGTGTTGTTTTCCTTTATTCAGGTATTGACAGAAGCAGAAGCTCAAACCACGTGGATGACAAAGATGTCCCATGTGCTGTGTGTCTGACAAAAGGTAAAACAGCATTGATGATTCCTGGTAGAACGTCCTGCTATGCAGGTTGGACCCATGAATACACAGGGTTTCTCGCAACTGTGAGAACCCAAAATGGCTTTGCATCAACAGAATATGTCTGCGCAGATGCCGATCCGGAATTTTACGGATCAACAAACTATAATCAGGGCATCATCAGTTTTGTAGAAGTAAAATGTGGAAGCATTCCGTGTTCTAAGTATGGAAACAGAACCAAACTGAGCTGTGTTGTGTGCAGTAAATAGTAATGTAATTGTATGGACAATGTTAATGTTTTTTTTTTAATGTTTCCTCTAGTATTTGCTTATCAGTATATTTGCTTCTAAATATGAAAAAAACTGTCTGTTATGTAATGAAATAAATAATTATCTAGTTGAAGGATTATTTGCTTAAATTATATTATTATCCTGATAAACAAAATAAGTGAAGTTAACATAAATAAGACGGCAACCCAAAGTCGAAGATAATCTCGGGACACCTAGAGGGTAACCCATAGTCTTCAATAAAATACCAGTTTCTACAATATTCCAAGTTCTTAATAGTCCCGAGTCTAAACAGTGCAAGCAGTTTGATAAATGATTGTTGGTTGATTAGCGTCCAGTGGCAAATATTTCATATAAAAATAAGGAGATGTGGTATGATTGCCAAATGAGACAATTATCCACCAAAGTTAAAATGAAGTGAGTGTAAGCAATTATAGGCAACCGCACGACCTTCAACAATGAGATAAAAACCCATACCGTATAGTCGGCTATAAAAGGCCCCGTCATGAAAAATATGAAACAATTCAATTGAGAAAACTAACGGCCTAATTTATAACAAAATAATTTACGATAAACAAATATAACAGACATCAACCAACGACAACCACTGAACTACAGGCTCCTGACTTGGGACAGGCACATATAGAATGTGGCGGGGTTAAACATGTTTGTGAGCGCTCAACCCTCCCCCTAACCTGGGACAGTGGTGTAACAGCACAACATAAGTACAAACTATAAAAATTAGTTGAAGAATGCTTAACTCATCAGATCTATACAAAGAAAAACATCAAACAAAAAACACAGACAGGACGTGGCAGGGTATATATCTATCCGTCATCCCTAACAACAAAAAACATACAGATCTGAGAGTACTCGCAGTTACTGACAGCTAGTTCAAAGCCAATAACGACTAATAAAAAAATCATGTATCTAAGACATTATCAATCAGTACACCTCTAACATCCAATGGATTCAGTGTAAAGATGTCATTAACATGCGGAGAAAAACATGACCTTGTGCAATGCCAAAATATAGGTATCGACAGATTGTAGTACCGTGAAAGTACATATGTGTAATATTTAGTATGGTTTTAATTTACTGATTAAAAAATCAATATTCATACCAATAAAAACAATATTCAAAGATTTAATTACAGTGTTGAATAGGTAACCTTTTAGAATAAGTTTATTTAAAGGATTGATAAGTTCACCCGGATCGTATCTAAATTTCCGGGCTCGGTTTACAACATCGCAGCAAAAAATATGATGTGCTATTCTGTTTGACATAAGTTTTCTACAGCCAAACATGCAGACCAAATATTCGTATCTATGAAAGAATGCAGTAAAAGTTTTAAGTAATTTGTGGTAACGAAATCCCTGACTTAATAATTTACTAGTAATACATAGATTACGCTCATTAAAATCCAAAACGTCACTACATACACGAGCATAGCGAACGAGTTGGGTTATATAAACACCGTAAGACGGTGCCAAAGGAACATCACCGTCCAAAAAGGGAAAATTAACAATAGAGAAAGAAAAATCATCCTTTTGTCGTAATTTTTTGTGTAGAGTTTCTGATGTAATACTGAAATATCTAAATCTAGGAAAGGAAATTATTGCTGTTAATATTTTATTTATTTAGAGTAAATTCCTTTGGGTAAATTTCAGCAGTACATTTAGAGAATTCTTGATTATTTAACGAAAAAATATCATCAAGATAACGGTAAGTGTTGTTGAATTTATCAATTAAATGGAATTTAGACGGTTCTTTACTAGTTTGGCCATAAACTGTGATTCATAACACTATAGGAATAAGTCTGCTATTAAAGGGGCACAATTTTGTGCCCATAGAAATACCTACAATCTGTCCATAAACGTAGTTGCCGAAACGTACATAAATGTAGTCAAGGAGAAAATTTAAGGCTTTAATCATCTCATCACACTTCCAGTGAGTATATCTAGCATATTTACCTTTCTCATTGGAGAGAAAGGCTTTATATGAGTTGCATGCATGTTTAGGACAATTGATAAATTAACAGACGGGGAATTTTAAAGTTAAAATCTGAATACACTCTCCCCAAATGACATTTTGAGGCAGTTTGATGGAAAGTACGCATATCATTTGATCGGAACGTCAAAAATTTATCATGCGTTCAATGGCCATTGAAAGCTTTTAGTATTGAAATCTAATAAAATGACAAGATCTGTTTCTTGATGGTCAGAGAGAAAGGACCCCAACCCACACGCGCACCATGCCTTGGTGTTCAATATGAGCTATTATAATCCATTTTCTCCTGTCATATATGATCCGTTGTCCGGAACCGTTGTAAAAGCATTCAATTTGTAAGAATCCGGCAACTTAGAAGAATTTCAAAACATGGCCGAAAAAAACTCGCCGACCTAACCATGTTATTTTGAAGATACCCTCATCCTGAGTTAGAAATGGTAGGTCTTTCGGTCTTCCGTTTCTGCTTTTGTAAAGACTTTATGTCGACCTCTAGATATATTTTTGGTTGCTTTTGTAAAGAAGACTTTATGTCGACCACTAGATGTCTTTTTGGTTGCTTTTGTAAAGAAGACTTTATGTTGACCACTAGATGTCTTTTTGGTTTCTTTTGTAAAGAAGACTTTATGTTGACCACTAGATGTCTTTTTGGTTGCTTTTGTAAAGAAGACTGTATGTTGACTTCTATATGTCTTTTTGGTTGCTTTTGTAAAGAAGATTGTAAGTTAACCACTAGATGTCTTTTTGTTTGCTTTTGTACAGAAGACTGTATGTTTACTTCTATATGTCTTTTTGGTTGCTTTTGTAAAGAAGATTGTAAGTTGACCACTAGATGTCTTTTGGTTGCTTTTGTAAAGAAGACTTTATGTTGACCACTAGATGTCTTTTTGGTTGCTTTTGTAAAGAAGACTGTATGCTGACCACTAGATGTCTTTTTGGTTGCTTTTGTAAAGAAGATTGTAAGTTGACCACTAGATGTCTTTTTGGTTTCTTTTGTACAGAAGACTGTAAGTTGACCACTAGATGTCTTTTTGGTTGCTTTTGTAAAGAAGACTTTATGTTGACCACTAGATGTCTTTTTGGGTGTTATTGTAAAGCAGCGGGACTGTATGTTGACATCTAGTTGTGTTTTTGTAGTTTGTGTTAAGAAGGGGGCTTTATGTTGACATCTAGTTGTGATTTTGTAGTTTGTGTTAAGAAGGGGGCTGTATGTTGACATCTAGTTGTGTTTTTGTAGTTTGTGTTAATAAGGGGGCTGTATGTTGACCGCTAGATGTCTCTTTGTTGTTTGTGTCTCTCGTACGATTGCTCTTTTATTGACGTATACCCTTTATCTCCTTTTTGTTCATATGAAATACATTTTAAAAATTACAATCCTATTAACGACAATAAATATAGTCCTTTCTCTCAAAAATGGATGTGGGCATTACATAAAGTAGGTCTTGCATGACATACAAATCTCTTCACAATTTAGAATCATATTTCTAATGCATGTTGTATAGTTAAATTCTACAAGTACAATCACCATCAACCCTTCACTCCCGCACCGCAAATAAAAATAAATAAATAAATATCGATGCAACCAAACTTAATCAAGAAAATCAAAATGTCAGTAGTATATTTAATGTTTATTATAAATTAACAAAACAAATAATAACAAGAACACGGCTTCAAAATACAGGTACATGTATAAATGTAGTTTTATAATATAACTGTCTTCCTTCCGTGACGTTTCTACAAGGCACTGAATATGGTTCCGAAGTCCTCGCACCACGGTACTATGGTTTACTTCTTGAAGGCACTGAATATGGTTCCGAAGGCCTCGCACCACGGTACTATGCAGCAATTTACACACGTAGAATAGATTCTTTGACAAAGTCCACAATTAATTTCAAAAATCTTCATGCAGGGTGAAATGATCCAGATATGATAGAAAGCAATGATAGCAAATTCACAGCCCCACTCAGCCGCAATGCAGACACCATAGAATATTGTCAGCAAGTTGTACGCCAGTAGCTTCCAACAATCGAAACATTTAGCAGATAGTTTCCATACACAGTCAATGCTGTGCACTCCATCGGGTTCTCCAAATACATCGTTGAAATGTAAAGTCTAAAAAGAAGAAATACATTAAGAATAGAGTAGTATAGCAGTCACTCTAAGTACCCGACTATGTTTATTTCCATATTTTTACATTAAATTCAATAACACCGTCCTAAAACTAAAATATGGATTCGTTATTTCGTCTTCGGTTGCACTTATCATATTTACTCGACAGTTAGTTGTTAAAATATTTTAAACTTTAAAAGGCACTTTAATGAGGTCGATGCCACTGCTGGTGGACGTTTCGTCCCCGAGGGTATCACCAGCCCAGTAGTCAGCACTTCGGTGATGACATGAATATCAATTATATGGTCATTTTTATAAATTTCCTGTTTTCAAAACTTTTGATTTTTTCGAAAAACTAAGGATTTTCTTATTCCGGGAATAGATTACCTTAGCCGTATTTGGCACAACTTTTTAGAATTTTGGGTCCTCAATGCTCTTCAACTTTGTACTTGTTTGGCTTTATAACTATTTTGATCTGAGCGTCACTGATGAGTCTTATGTAGACGAAACGCACGTCTGGCGTATTAAATTATAATCCTGGTACCTTTGATAACCAATTAATGACCTTTAGGAAATCTCGGAGTAAAGTTGATTAAGGATAGTAAACACTGATAGTGGTCGGGCTAATCTAACTTGAATTTATTTTACGCAAGGGCCAATTTCCCATAAATTTATTTTCCGCAAGGGTCAATTTAATTACATTGAATTTATTTAACAATAGTGCCATATAAAAAAGACTATTGAATTGTCCTCATAAGCAAAGTATAGCACTAAATTACATTTTTGTGTATCGTGAATTAAATGTAGAATATTTTAAAATCTTCTATTAATTATATAGACTATTTGATATTCAAATTTCACCATGTTTAGTGACCATTCGGAATTAGACCCCATCAGTGAAACAAATTCAAGGGAAATATGTCATACGTCCTTGTTACGGGCAACAGTGTGTGTTAATTATTTGGCATGTGTCTGTCATGATTATTTCCCATTTATAAG